TTTTAATCCCAGTACCTGGGAGGAAGGGGCAGGTGGATCTCCAAGTTTGAGACCAGCCCAGTCTAAATAGTGAGTTCCAGGGCTGGAGAGATGGCTCAGTGGTTAAGAGCACTGACTGCTCTTCCAGAGGTCCTGAGTTCAATTCCCAGCAACCACATGGTGGCTCGCAGTCATCTACAATGAGACCTGGTGTCCCCTTCTGGCATGCGGGTGCACATGGAAGGAATGCTATACACATAATAAATAAATTTAAAAAAAATAGTGAGTTTCAGGAGGCCAGTGCTACACAGAGAAACCTTGTCTTAAAAATCAAACAAACAAACGGGGGCGGGGGGAGAGACAGAGAGAGAGAGAGAGAGAGAGAGAGACAGAGACAGAGACAGAGAGAGAGAGAGAGAGAATTGCTTAGAAGAAACTCTCATGGGGCAACAGAGCTGGACTCAGCTTCCAAGACAGAGGCTCCTACAACCCAGCTGAGGGTTCCATTCTTTCAGAAATGCTCCAATGGCTTCTTTAGTCCTTTTCGCTGGCATTTTTTAGGGGCTGTGTTACTAAATCTCCACTTTCTTTTGGAAACGGTCTTACTAGGTCTGGCTGGCCTGGAGTTTGCAAGGCAGACCAAGCTGACCTTGAACTCACAGAGATTCATCTGCCTCTGCCTCCAACACTCTGCCTCCAAGAGCAGGGATTGAAGGCATGTGCCACCACTTCTGGCTTAGACCTTTAGACTACGTTTTAGAATGTTTTGCCTGGGCTGGAAAGATGACTCAGCTGATGAAAGCCCTTGCTTTACAAGTTTGATGACCCCAGTTCCATCCCCAGAATTCATGTAAAGGGGGAAGGAGAAGTGTGCGCCATGGCGACTGGAAAATCTGCACTCACTCACAGACAACATGTTTGTAATAATAAATACAATGAAATTAAAATACTTTATTTGATTACCCTGATACCTAAACCACATAAAGACATTACTAAGAAAGAGAATTATAGACCGATCTCACTCATGAACATTGATGCAAAAATATTAAATAAAATACTGGCAAATCAAATCCAAGAACACATCAGAACCATCATCTATGATGACCAAGTCAGCTTCATCCCAGAGATGCGGGGATGGGTCAACATATAAAAATCTGTCAATGTAATCCACCATATAAACAAACTGAAAAATAAAAACCACATGATCATCTCAGTAGATGCTGAAAAAGCTTTCAACAAAACACAACATCCTTCATGATAAAGGTCTTGAGAGAGCAGGGATACAAGGAACATACCTAAACATAACAAAGGTAACATACAACAAACCACCAGTCAACATCAAACTAAATGGAGAGAAACTCGCAGCAATCCCACTGAAATAAGGAACAAGACAAGGTTGTCCATTCTCTCCATATCTATTCAATATAGTTCTTGAGGTTCTAGCTAGAGCAATAAGACACCAAAAGGAAATCAAGGGATACAAATTGGAAAAGAAGAAGCCAAATTCTCATTATTTGCTGATGATAAGATAGTTTACATAAGTGACCCCAAAAATTGTACCAAGGAACTTCTACAACATTACTTTGAGTAATGTAGCAGGATACAAGATTAACTAAAAAAAAATCAGTAGCCCTCCTGCACACAGATAATAAATGGGCTGAGAAAGAAATCAGAGAAGCAACACCCTTCACAATAGCCACAAATAGTATAAAATATATGGTAACTCTAAACAAACAAGTGAAAGACTTGTATGACAAGAACTTTAAATCTTTGAAGAAAGAAACTGAAGAAGATACCAGAAAATGGAAAGATCTTCCATGCTCTTGGGTAGGTAGAATTAACATAGTAAAAATGGCAACCTTACCAAAAGCAATCTACAAATTCAATGCAATGACCATCAAAACCCCAGGAAAATTCTTCACAGACCTTGAAAGAATGGTATTCAACTTCATATGGAAAAGCAAATAACCCAGGATAGCCAAAACAATCCTGTACAAAAAAAGAACTTCTGGAGGCATCACTATCCCTGACTTCAAACTCTACTACAGAGCTACAGTACCGAAGACATCCTGGTATTGCCATAAAAAGACAGGAGGACCAATGGAACCGAATCGAAGACCTGGATGTTAATCCACACACTTATAAACACCTGATTTTTGACAAAGAAGCAAAAAATATCAAATGAAAAAAAAGCATATTTAACAAATGGTGCTGGCATAACTGGATATCAACATATAGAAGAATGAAAATAGACTCATATCTATCACCATGCATAAAATTCAAGTCCACATGACTCAACATAAAGCCAGCCACACTGAACCTCATAGAAGAGAAAATGGAAAGTACACTTGAATGCATTTGAACAGGAGAACACTTCCTAAATATAACCCCAGCAGCATAAACACTGAGAGAAACAATTAACAAATGGGACCTCCTGAAACTGAAAAGCTTCTGTAAAGCAAAGGACACGATCCAGAAGACAAAACGACAGCCTACAGAATGGGAAAAGATCTTTACCAATCCTACATCAGACAGAGGTCTGATCTCCAAAATATACAAAGAACTCAAGAAATTGGTCATCAAAAGAACAAATAATCCAATAAAAAAATGGAGTACAGACCTAAAAGAGAACTCTCAACAGAGGAATCTAAAATGGCTGAAAGACACTTAAGAAAATGTTCAACATCCTTAGTCATCAGAGAAATGCAAATCAGAACAATTCTGAGATTCCATCTTATACCTGTAAGAATGGCCAAGATCAAAAACACTGATTACAACTTATGCTGGAGAGGATATGGGGTAAAGGGTACATTCCTGCATTGCTGGTGGGAATGCAAGCTGGTACAGCCCCTTTGGATATCAGTGTGGCAATTTCTCAGAAAATTAGGAAACAACCTTCCTCAAGACCCAGTAATACCACTTTTGGGTGTATACCCAAAGGATGCTCAATCATGCCACAGGGACATGTGCTCAGCTATGTTCATAGCAGCACTGTTTGTCATAGCCAGAACCTGGAAACAACCTAAATGCCCCTCGACTAAAGAATGGATAAGGAAAATGTGGTACAGTTACACAATGGAGTACTACACAGCAGAAAAAACTAACAACATCCTGAAATCTGCAGGCAAAAGAATCGAGCTAGAAAACATCATTTTGAGTGAGGTAACCCAGACCCAGAAAGACAATTCTCATATGTACTCACTCATAAGTGGTTTTTACCCATAAAGCAAAGAAAACCAGCCCACAAATCACAATCCCAGAGAACCCAGACAACAATGAGGAACCTAAAAGAGACATACATAGATCTAATCTACATGGGAAGTAGAAAAAGATAAGATCTCCTGAGTATATTGGGAGCTTGGGGACCTTGGGAGAGGGTTGAAGGGGAGGGGAGAGGCAGGGGGAGGAGCAGAAAAAAATGTAGAGCTCAATAAAAAATCAATAAAAAAGAAAAATGATAAATTAAAAAAATATTTTATTTGAGCTGGATGGTAGTGGTGCACACCTTTGATCCCAGCACTTGGGCGACAGAGGCAGGAGTATCTTTGTGAGTTCAAAGTCAGCCTGGTCTACAGAGCGAGTTCCAGGACAGCCAAGGCTACACAGAGAAGCCCTGTCTCGAAAAGCAAGCAAATAAAGCAATTTTTTATTTGCTTTTCCTCCTTGTAGACAGGGTTTATACCTAATCTCAGCAGAGCAAGCAGACTCTTGTATTACTTGATTATCTATGAAAAAGTTGTTCGAAAGATCTCGTTTGTTTTCAATTATGTGTATGAATGTGTGTCTGTGGAGGGGCATGGGCACATGAGTGCTGGCCCTGAGGTCCTCTACAAGGGCCGTGTGCACTCTTACCCACTGAGCCATCTAGCTAGCCCCAAGTTATCGATACTTTTGGAAAGTATGAGGTGGGTGGATCTTGGGTTTGAAGACAACCGTACTAAAGCAAGTTTCAGGCCAGCCGGGGTTACACAGGGAAAACCTATCAAAAATCAGGTCTGTTTCTAGTTTCAGCTTTGGAATGTACAAGTGTGTACTGGAAGTGGCCCTTGTAGGGGTACTAAGGGGCCTGGGTATTGCTTACTTTCCCTAAGTATAACACACACCTTGCTTGGTGATCTCAGCATGCTGAGCCCTTGCAGGGTCCCCTTGTCCCTCTAAATGACCACCTCTTCTCCCCAGAGGACCTGACGAGGAGCAGCCTGAGGGAGAGGCTGTTGTTTTCCTCATTCCAGGGGCCTGAAAAGACGACTCTCCCCGGCCCCGGTGTCCGCTGCTCCCACACCAGGCAGGGCAAGGCTGCGCCAGGCACTGGCACCTGTGGAATCTTGGGAGCACAGGCTGGTGGGGTGGAGCCCTTTCTCTATGACGCTCCTTTGCAGTTCGTGCCCAGGTTTCATCACAGAGTGACTTCGCTCCAGAGCCCTTTCCACCGCCACACTCCTGTGTACACATCAGGCACCCTCACTTTGCACATCCACAGGCAGAGTGAGGAGGTCCATGACTGCTTCAGGTCTTAAGAGCAGAGGGAGGCACATATTTCTGCAGGGTTGGAGAGAGATGTGACTGCCAGACTAGGGTAGGGAGGGAGACAGGTCAAGCCGGCCACCTTTTTAAGCTCTTTATGATTGTGTGAAGAAGAGCTGGAGAGATGGCTCCGTCGTTAAGAACATGTATTGCTCTTGAGGAAGAGTCTAGACTGGTGTCTAGATTGGTGTCTCTACCAAGAACTCCCAAGGTCACCCTGGATGCCAGTTAGCTCACATCACCTCAGGTTAACCTGCTCCCATCTCTTTAAGGGCTGTCCCTCTGACTGCTGTCTTGAGGAGTCAGGGGCCATTGGGAGTGCATGGGCGATTGCATGTGTGTCACCCAGATACCGATTGATTTGTAAGACAGGGTTTTGCTTTGTAGATTTGGCTGGCCTGGAGCTTACTCTGTAGACCAGGCTGGCCTTTAACAGAGACACACCTGCCTTTGCCTCCTGAGTGCTGTGACCTAAGGCACGTGCCACCACACCTGGCTGTCGCCACCGATTAATTTTATTCAGCTTTATAACTTGGTTAACATTCAGGACGGCAGCTCTGAGGTGGTTTTCTTTCCTTTGTCCTAGGACTTGGGCCTGATAATACTTTGGTAGGGAGTGGGTGGTTGGACCGACCATTATGTTGGCAGTCTCATATTTACTGTCTTCTTAAGGGGAGGGGAGGGAGATGGGTCAATCTGGTCACCTTTTTTAAGGCCTTTAAATCTATATAAAGAGGAACTAGAGAGATGGTTCAGTGGTTAGAGCATTTGCCGCTCTTGCAGAGGACCTGGGCTCTGTTCCCAGCACCTGGATGGAGGCTCACAACTGCCTGTAACTCTAGCATGAGGGCTTCTGAGACCTTAATCAGGCCTCCATGAGCACCAGGCACACACCTGTGCACATACAGAGATGCAGGCCAAGATACATACAATAAAATAAATAAATTTAAAAACAACAGCAGAAACCCCAACAACTGTCTGAGGAAGGCCGAGTCTACCCTGTACACCAGATCACGCCAGATTCTTCTTTGGAAAACCAGGTTACACGTAACCCAGGCTGGCCTCGAACTCACGATGTAGCTCAGGATGATCTTGAACGTCTCTTCCCCAAGTCTCCCGCTCCTGAGAAGCGAATGACAGGTGTGAGCACATCTGGTTTCTGTGATACTGAAGATGGAACTGAGAGCTGTATGCATGCTAGGCAAGCACTCAACCCCATGAGCTACATCCCTGGACCCATGGCATATTCTTCTTTTTAAATTTTTCTTCTTTAGAACTTTGTATGTGAGCAGTGTATCCACATCTTCCTCTGTCCCCTTCATCCCTCACCTGCAACATTTTATCTTTCATCTGAGTTTAGAGCAGTGGTTCTCAACTTTCTTAATATTGTACCTTTCAACACAGTTCCTTAGAGTGTGATGACCCTCAACCATAATATTATTTTCATTGCTACTTCATAACTGAATTTTGCTACTTTTATGAATCATAATGTAAGTATCTGATAAGCAGGATATTTGATATTTGATCCCTGTTAAAGGTCATTCCCCCCCCCCCCGCCCCCGCAGAGTCACGACCCACAGGTTGAGAACCTCTGGTTTAGAGGCAGCACATCCCCTGGCTAAGACTAAGGTCTTGAGAATGAGGGTCCCCTGTCGTCCTTAGTGGTTTGTGGTTGGTTCATGTGTCACCTTTCACAGTCACCCTGGCCAGGCATCTGGGAAAGATTCCTCTGGCCTAACTTTCTCCATGTGGATGACATGACGTGTCTCGATGGTATGGCTTCATGTCTTGCATAGACTCTATGAAGGCCAGGGAAGTTGAATCTGGAATTTGCTATTCTCTGGGGCCACAAAGTATCTTGAGGTCAAAAGCTACGCCTTTTTCTCCTCCGGGTGCAAAGGATGACCAGGGAGCTTCCTCTCACCAGGAGAGCAGTCCAGGCCTCTCCAACCATCTTCCCACGGCTCGGTTTGAGGAGATGATGCCTGGATAGTGGAGCATTGACAGCCTTGCTCCTGGGCAGCCTGTCCGGCTGGCATTCCCGGGCCTCTGCTACCCAGGATCTCAGAGACAAGCGTCTCTTCACATCCATCACCTGCAGCTGCTGGCTGGTGGAGAACCGGAAGCCGATGGGTCCTCAGACACGTGATGGTGACAGCTTGGGAAAGAAGCCATCTTCACTTCCTGTCTGACTGGCTGCCTGGAGGAGGGAAGCCAGAGCTGGACGCTAGTGCCAAGTGGTCCCCGCACAGAACCCCTCTATCCCGTACAATCCCTTCTTTCAATCTGCCCTTGTGCAAACAGAATAATGAAAACTGTCCCTTCCAGGTCCTGGCTCCGTGGCCTGCCCCAGTCTTTCCTCACAGGGAGCTGTGCTTGGTCAGTTTGCTCAGCGTCCGTCCTGGCAACAGCTCACTGTTTTCTGAGTCCACAGGACACATGGGCTCTACCACGCAGGGCTCTGCACACCAGGACACATGGGCTCTACCACGCAGGGCTCTGCACACCAGGACACATGGGCTCTACCACGCAGGGGCTCTGCACACCAGGACACATGGGCTCTACCATGCAGGGCTCTGCACACCAGGACACATGGGCTCTACCACGCAGGGGCTCTGCACACCAGGACACATGGGCTCTACCACGCAGGGCTCTGCACACCAGGACACATGGGCTCTACCACGCAGGGCTCTGCACACCAGGACACATGGGCTCTACCACGCAAGGGCTCTGCACACCAGGCTTGGGCTATGTGATGTTGCTGGATGTGGGGTACAGCCGGCTTTCAGCTACAGGTGTTAGGATTGTGAGCACCGTCAACTAAGTCTCCCCAAGCCTGTGCAGCCTGGAAACAGGGCAGGGTCAGAGTGGCCTGCCTACTTCTCTCCTGGCCAGGCTTTCCCATGGTCCCTTGGCACTGCCCCGGGGCCTGAAAGGAAGTAGCCTGCCCTGAACCTCTGCTTCATCGTTTCCTGAGGCAATAGGGAGAGCCCATAATGGCTTAGCAATGGTTCATTACCTGGTTAGAACGCCCGGGTGTGACTAGGGAGGGGCAGTGACTTTTTGCTGCTTGACATCTTTGTTCCATACTTTTGATCTTCTTGTTAGTAACACTCATTTGGGGTGGAGATCAGTCAGCTGGCTGAGGCCGAAAGAGGGTGAGGAAGATGGAGAGGCTGGGTTTGAGTGGAACCTCCCACCAGCAGGTAGATCTGAGTTCTAGACCAACCTTATGTTGTTGAGACAGGCCAGGTTGGCCTTTCCCCAGATGTGGGAATATTCTTTCTAAGGGACATGACCTTCAAGGTGTCACTCAGCCAGCTTGTATACTAGCTACCTAGCTAAGAGCAATGAATAAACAAGAAGGCTAATAAAGGATAGGTCCCTGGGGCAAGAGAAGCCACTGGAAAAGGCCCTGGTTCTGTAGAGAAGGGAAACTGCCTTTCCCATTTGCCCGGGCACAAATAGTTCATGCGCCCAAATCCAGGAGCACGAGGCCCTTCCTCTGAGCCTCCCACCAAGGTGCTGGCTGACTTACTATGCAGGTCCCTCGTGGAGGATGCTGTGGAAGCTGGGCGGCTGGCCTGGTGGGGGCCACTTGAGGAGAACTGGGGGGCCAGAGACAATGCTTTCACCTTGAGAGTGTTCAGCTCCATGGCCTCTGGAGTGCTGGGTACCCAGGGTTTGCAGGTGAAGGCTGAAGTAAATTCCCTAGGAGGAAAAACAAAAACAAAACAAAACCAAAAACGTACAGTCTAGAGTCACAAACTACTAAACAAAAATTGTAGGAGTTGTAAGAGTAGGAATTGTAAGAGGAGGGAGCCACTAACTCTGTGAGCCCTGACAATGTGGCAGCCATACTACAGGGAGGAGGGAAATGATAAGGAAGAAGTAACGGCTAAGGGGTTAACAGGGTGGGGAAGGGGAACAGGACCTGGGAGAGTACTGACATTAATTAATTTATTTGGTTTTTAGATAGTGTCTTACTATATAGCCCTGGCTACCCTGGAACTTGCTATGTAGACCAGGATGACCTAGAACTCAAGATACTCCTAGCTCTGCCCCCGCCAGTGCTGGATTAAAGGTGTGCACTACTATGTCCTGTCAAAAATTTTTTATTTATTATTTATTTTGGGAGAGGGAACACAGGACACGTGAGGAGGTCAGAGGACAGCCTGCAGGAGTTGGTCCTTCCCTTCTATCATCTGGGGACGAAACGCAGCTCATCAGGTCTGGTGGCAAGGGCCTTCATCCATTAGTCATTTCTCCAGCCCACTGGCAGTGACAGCTTAGATCACGGTGTCAGGGAGGTGTCGGCAGCCGAGCCGTGGCCCCCAAAGAGTTTCAGATCACATGCTTCTGAACCCAGGAGTACATTGCTGTAGGCGTGTTATCGGAGCCGTTCCTGTTAGGCTCTGGGCTCTGGCAGCCCTAACGAGCTGGGCTTGGTCAGCTGCCTTCGGTGGGGCTAGTAAAGATACGCACAACGGCAAAAACAAAGAAAGGAGATTGATTCAACGTGGCTGCAGTAGGAAGGGAAACAAATAAGCAGGCCCAGTGGGCACTCCAAGCCCTGAACCTATCTATGGGGTTCTGATTCAGCTTCAAACAGAGGGCAAGAGGTTACAAGCAGCCCTGGTCAAGAAGTGGTCCTGTCCATCACTCACTCATTGTTGTCGGCTCCAGTCTCTCCTGCAAGGTGGTCTGACTGTAAGGTCTCTCTTCCTGCGAGAAATACTAATTCCTTGGGGATCATTGTCTCAATAGTCTAGAGGGATAAGTGTCTCCTAAAATATCTTTTAAAATGGGGCTGGAGAGATCGGTGTGTGCGTGTGTGCGCACGCGCGCGCGCGCGCACGCACACACACACACACACACACACACATACTTTAAAAAAGTTAAGTAGGTAAATGTGGAAAAAATAAAGGTCACCACAAAGCCTTATTTATTAAAATACAAATTAAATACCACTACATTCCCCCTTTTTGTCTAAAATATAAAAGGAAAGACTCTAACTAACGTAAGAAAAACTGTACACAATAAGAACAAAGACTATATACAATATACACAGGCAATAAGTCCATCAACAGTGTCTATTCCATTTGCATTTGATACATTCAGAGAAAATACCCCATATCTGTCTTATCTTGTGAGTCCAAAGTCTTATACTTAATTTACTTTCCATCATAACTTTCTTTCTGAGTCTGGTAAACTATAACTATAACTATCTAATCTTCAACTTCCTCAGAGACCTGAGAAGGAAATAATATTAACTGAGTAAGCAGGAAGCGCAACCAAGCGACTTCCAAAAAATGTGAAAAATGACAGAAGCATCAGGGGCTGACACCGTGAGCATGGATGACTATCTTAATAATTTTGTTTTTTTTAAGATTTATTCATTATGTATACAGTGTTCTGCCTGCATATACGCCTGCACAACAGAAGAGGACACTAGACCTCATTACGACCCTCCATGTGGCTGCTGGGAATTGAACTCAGGATCTTTGGAAGAACAGCCAGTGCTCTTAACCACTGATCCATCTCTCCAGCCTGACTTTGTTTATTCTAAAGGGTTTGGAATGCATGCCAGGGTCACCTGGCAGGCAAGAGTGGTTGTGACAAATGACTGTAGTCAGCCAGTTGGATCCGAAACCTTGAGGCTGGAGCTAAGGAGGAGAGGCAGCCCCCAGAAACAGGTGAGCGTGAGGAGCTGCTTCTCCAGGGCGAAGCAGCACACACAGTTGGCATGCTTTGAAGGGTATGATGTCAGACTTCCGGTCAGGATGGGAAAACTGCTGCGGTCGGGGTGTCCGACTTCTCACTATCTGCTTCTGCAGCACAAGGACATTCATTTCAGGGCGGGGTGGCCAGAGAAAGCCTTGCTGATATGGTGATGCTGAACCCACAAACAAATCCCACAACACAGGTGTTCCGCCTTAGCAGACGTCGACTGAGGGTCTAAAGTTCAGGAGCCTTCCTGAGGTCATCCACCTCGTAGGCAGGCAGTGACACAGAAGCTGAGAACGGTCGCTCTCCAGCTGTCTTCCGCCAATCCCCCACAGCTTAGTGTTGTTGGACCAGAGCTTTGGGGTCCGGGTTCCACAGCCTCCCAGGAACAAGCTGGTGCTGGGCTGAACGCTCCCTGCCCATCCTGTCTTGCAGTCACAAGTGGTAACATGCTGAACTCTGTTTTCTCACATTGAGAGCTGGGCTCTTGCCACTTACAGAAACGTCCGTTTTCCTGTGTCTGAGGTGATGAAGCGCCATGGCCAGCACTCAGTGTTGCCACCATCAAATGAACTCGCTCCACAGTTCACGCGCGGCACATAAGCCACTGGTCTTATGTGCTGGCACTGGTCTTGTGTGCCGGCACATAAGCGGCTGGTCTTCCCTTCCCTAAGGGAGTGAGTGCCTTAGAGAGTGAGGTCCCCATGGTTTGTGTATCCTCATGGGTTTGAGCTGGCTGGTGGGGGATCCTGAGCTAGTATAGAGGCGGCAACAGGCTGTGGGGTCCCCCCACCCCCACCCCTGCATGCCTCCTACAGAGGTGAAGGATTGTACTCTCTGTTGAGATGTGAAATCCAGAACCATAGAAAGCATGAGACATTCTCCCTAGAGAGGCCGAGGGTCAGCTCTGCCCTCTCTAGCTGGTGGCTGTACATGAACAAATTCTCTGACACGCTGGAAGCCCCAGCTTCTCCATCTGTAAAACGCTTAAACATGGGGGCTGGAGAGATGGCTCAGCAGTTAAGAGCGCCTCTTGCAGAGGACCCGAGTTCAGTTTTCAGCACCCACTGCAGCTCCAGGGGATCTGACACCTCTAGCTTTCTTGGGCATCTAAACTCCCATATACACACCTATATACAGTTGCACACATATACGTACAATTAAAAATAATAAATATAGCCATGTGTTTAGTCTCAGCACTCAGGAGGCAGAGGCAAGGAGATCTTTGTGAATTCCAGGTCAGCCTTGGTTGTGAGCCACCATGTGGTTGCTGGGAATTGAACTCAGGACCTTTGGAAGAGCAGCCAGTGCTCTTAACCTCTGAGCCATCTCTCCAGTCCCCTGAGACCCTGTCTTTGATTAAAAAAAAAAAGTGGTTTCTAGGAGGTTGTGGTACATGTCTTTAATCCCAGAACTCTGGAGGCAGAGGCAGGTGGATCTCTGAGACCTCTGAGATCTCTGAGTTCGAGGCCTGGTCTACAGAGTTCCAGGACAGCCAGAGCTACACAGAGAAACCCAGTCTTGAAAACTCAAAATGACTACAACACTGAAGCAGGCTGCAGCTACAGCTTTATTTGGTAGAGTGCCTGCCTAGCGTGCACAGAGGCCGGAGTTCCTCACATAAACTGGCCATGTGGACACACTAGGAATCTCAGCATTCCTGAAGGGAGGCAGGAGGGTCAGAAGCTTATCATCCTCAACTGCTTACAGCATATTAGAGGGCAGTCTGGGCATCACGAGACACTGTGCCTAGATAGGCATGCATAGAAGTAGGTAGGTAGGCGGGCAAGTGGGTAGGCAGATAGACAAGACCCTGTCTCCAGATATATGGGTAGGCAGACAGCTATACAGGTAAATATAAACTTAAAAAAATTAAGGTCACAGTTTCCTCCTAAGAACCCCCCAAACTGTATGTTTATACATACATTTTTTTTCTTTCTTTCCCTCCCTCCC